AGAAGTGATTCCCGGCAGTGTCATGACTTCAGCTGCCACAAGGCCCTGATGAGGCAGGCGAGATGGTGTTGCGGGATCAGGCCTGGGGGGGGTCCCCTGGGGGCACCACACCCAACTCACCCGGGAAGGGCAGGCTCGGGGCCCAGCTGCCTGGGGGGGGCCCAGGCCCCGCCACCCACATCCTGCTCCCATCCCGCTCCCTGCCCCAGTCCTGTTGCCCAGCAGAGGGGCGACGGCGAGGCCTGGGAGACGCTTGGGCACACGTGCCAGCGCGGGCGGCTGCAGCCCCGGGGCAGAGAGCGCACCAGCATCCCCCTAAGCGGGGGCCTTCGACTCCTGCACACATCATTCTGGGGATGATGGGAACTGCAGTGCAGCACGTCTGGGCGGCAGCACATGGGGGAAGGCAACCTTCCAGAAGCAGATAACAAGGATTGTCCAGTGGTACGAGCTTTGCCACCCAAGGGATTCCCGGGCCGATGGGCAGCCGGCGCTTATTGGTACGCAAAGCTCCTTTTAAACGCCGCTCAGGGTAGTTCCTGACAAGCAACGGGTCCCCCTCCCTCTACTCGGATGCGCCCCCCATGCCCCCTGCCCGGCCCCTCGCCTTCCCCCATCAGCAGGCGCCGTGGCAGAGGAAGGCTGCAGGGCCCGCCCCGCCACGCTCGGCTTCCCCGCCCTGTTCGTGCCAAGCCCCGCAGCCTTCTCCCCCGGGGATCCGGCTGCGATCTTGCATCAGCCCGAGCCCACGGGGTGCTGTGGCACCGCCCTGCCCCCCCTCTGCGCCCTGCTCCCCGGGAACAGGCCTCGGGGCACCCAGGACACACTGCCCCCACCCCTGCCTCCACTGCTTCCTGGGACTGCGGCGCAGCCGGCACGGGGCTGGGCTGGGAGTGGGGGAGAAGCCCCTCGGCTCCAGACCCCCAACACTGCCATGGGGCTGCACGTGGGGGCCCCTGGCTCGTTAAGCAACACGGAAAGCGGCCCCCGAGAGCAGAAGTGGGGCTGTGCCCACATCCGCCTGGGGCACTCAGGCTTCCCCCCTCCTGCACCGGAGGCAGCAAACCTGAACTGCATTCTCCCCCCCCCCCCCGGCACGTAATGGCAGCCAGTTTTCTGCGTGGCAGAGCCGCAAATTCTGCCCGCAGAGCCCACCCCTCACCCTGCCTCCGGCGAGGCCGCCTCAGACCCCTCCTCGGCGTGCCCCGACCAGCCCGGGGGCCAGAGGCAGCCCGTGCCCCCCGCCCCGCCGTTGCCCGGCTCCCGGCCCACTTGCCCCCCTGCACTCGCCCGCGGCTCGCGCGAGCCCCGCTGTCGCCAGGGGGCCGCCTCCGCTCCGCCGGAGGTGAATCCCCCCCTCCTGCCGCAAGGGAAAGCGCGAGCGCGCCCCTGGCCCAGCGCGCAACGCCGGGAAGCCGGAGGCACTCCACACATGCTCAGATCAGCTCTTCTTCCGGCGGCGCAGCAGGTGCCCGGGATGGAGGCGCGGCGGGGGCGCGGGGGCAGCAGCGTCCGCCGCCACGTACCCGGGGCTGCTGCCGCCCGAAGCCTTCCGCATGGTGGACGTGGGTCTCGGCGCGCGGGACGGCGCGGGACGGCGCGATCGCAGCGGGTGGAGGGCAGCGGGAGTGCGGCGAGTTCGCGAGCCGCCGGGACGGGACCGGGACCGGAGTCTCCTCGGCCCTCCCCCTTCCGGGCGCGGCCCCTCCCCGGGCGCGCCCTCCCCTTAACCCTCTCCGTGCCGGAGCGCGCCCGGCGCCGGGGCGGGAGGAGCACGCTTGGCCGGGGGCGGCGGGGAGGCTTGGGAAAGAACCGGCCTGTTTTTCTCCCGCGAACCGCGCTCCGACCACCGGCCAGGGAGCCCGGGGCTGGCCCGCTGCACGCGGCCGCTCTTCCCGGGAAAACTCGGGCGCTCCCTGCGAGGGAAGCCCGAGCGCGTGGTGGCCGTGCACGTGTGAACCTTGCTGGGGGGGTGCAAGGTTTACAGAGCTGCAAAGAAGCGGGGACTCCACCCCGAGCGGCCGGAGCCGAAAGAAGTGCCCGGACAGGCAGATATCCGGTTAGGGGAGCGAGCCGCCGCTTCCTCCTCGAGCTTTGAAATCCGATCTCCGCGCCCGCGGCCTCACCAGTTCCTCTTCCGGTTTGTGCCAGTTCGGGCTGATGCGAGGCAGGCGCTCCCGAGGCTGAGCTGGCGGGAAGCAAGACAAGGCGCTTTGCAGGACCGCCGCTGCTCTGCAAAGCGCCCAAATGGGCCTGGCCAGACCTGGGCTGACAGAGCGGAAGGAAAAAAGCATCCGTCCGTGGGAAATCATCCGGCACTTTTCCCGGCGAAAAGCACCTTTGCGAAAGCTGGGTTGCAAGGCCGGGGGAGCCTGCGGTGCGCCCTCCGGTCGAAGCGGCAGAAATGGCTCGGCCCCCGTGGATGATGCGTGGAGCCGGCAGCGCGCGGGGCGGCGGGGGATGTGCAAGCCCGGCTGGAGCCTCCGGGGCGGCGCGTTCACACGTACCCTTCGCGTGTCCCGCTGCAGGAGCTGCTCGAGGAGGTCGTGCGGCTCCTCTGGGCCTTGAAGCACTCGCGCTTGAGGGAGGCCGGGCGCTCCGGGGAGGCGCAGCCGCGCCCGCTGTGGGAGAGAGAGCCTCAGCGACCGGCCGGGCAGCAGCGGGGCGGGCCGGCCGGGAGGGCCGCGGGCGAGGCTGGGGCTCGAGGAGCGGGGCGGGAGCAAGCGGGGCGCGGCAGCCGCCTGGAGGCCGGGCCCTGCGCGAGGCGGCGGCTCCCGGGAGACCGGAGGCGCGCGATCCACGGGGAGCCCGGCGGCCCCTCTGCAGCGTCGGGCGCAAGCGGCAGGCGCGGTTGCCGCCGTCGCGTCCTGGGGATCTCCGCTCTTCCTTCGCTTTGAGAGCTGGGCAGGAAAGAGTTAATCCTCGCCGCCGCCGCTGCTTTTAGGAAAGCAGCATCCCGAGGCGCTTGCCTGGCTGGCCCCCCTCCCATCCTTGCCCTGGACCGTTGGCATCCCCTCTTCCCTGCCCAACTGCGACCCGCCACCCCTGCAGGGCAGGCCACAGGCAAGGACAAGCCCATGCACGGCGAACGTGCCCCGGGCCCTGCTGAGCCCTGCCCAAGCGGCTCGAGCAAGTAAGCCAAGGCACAGCCCAGGTGGAAGGCTCTGCACTTCCCGTCCTCACACTGGCAGCCAGATCCTTCCAACGGCACCATCAGCCAGATGGAGAACGGGCAAACCAGCCTGCCAAGCCTCTGTGAGGGAATTTGGGCTGCGCGACCGCCCCCCGGGCCCTGCCTCCGGGGGCGTCTGCCTGCAGGAAGACGGGATCCACCCCTTCTGTGCGAGGTTCCCCTTCCGCCCCCATCCTGAACGGACACCGTGTTCTGGAAGTGAAGCCCCCTCCGGCCTGAAGCGATGAGCGTAACAGCAAGAAGCAGGATGTGGGGAGAGTTTTTCCGCATGGAAAGCAGGTGAGGGTGAGAAGTGTTTCTCGAAGCTGCGCCGCGGACCCCGGAGACGCTGCGCACCCCCGGCCCATGGCTGCTCCCTGCCCCATGCAATGCAGAATCGCCCCGCACCTGATGCAGGCGGCACCCGTAGGACCGCTGCCGCACCGGAAGAGGCCGGGCGCCTTCGTTGCCCTCCCGCGTTAGGCAGGCCGCGGGGCAGCCTCGTCTTGCTCTGCTTTTCGCTTCTCAAAATGCTGCGCCTTAGTAGTCCAGTGGGCGAGCCTTGCCCCGTTAAAGCCCTCTCATCCGTGGGGACCCTGCCATGCCTTACCTAAGCACAGGACCTGCATTTGCAACAGCTGCAAAAAGGCAGGTTACGTACCTTCCGCAGGACGGAAACCCTGAAGAGGCTTTTTAAAATGCATTCGATTCCTTTGCTAAGCATCTCAGTTTGCTGTGATAGCCTGGGATGGAAACGCCACCATCGGAAGCTGTTTGGCTCCGAGCAGCTCGCAGATGTGGAGGTGAAACCGGGGAGGGCGGGCAAGATCTTCCGGCCTGCTTGAAGCCGCATCGCTGCTGGGAAGAGGATGCCAGCCGGCAGGCATTCCCAGGTGGGTTGCCTTCATGCAGATGCCTCCAGCCAATGCTTGCCTTTCTGTTCTGGCTTTATTGTTGTTTATCAATGGGCCGTTTTGTCAGTTCCTAATCTGAATGAATTCAGATACTTGGAACTGAAGACAATTTTCCTAGCCCAACAGGTTTTTCAAGAAAGAATAGAAACATAGAAACAGAGCGAGTCAGAAGGGGTCCCGGCCATCTAGTCTGACCTCCGGCACCAGCCGGCTCTGCTCACGACATGCCCACCATGTGCATGTCCAGCCTGTCCTTGAACACCCGCACCGATGGGGCCTCAACGACCGCATGTGGAAGCCCATTCCACACCCTTGGAGGCCTGTTTAGAAACTCATACTGAATAGAAGAATTTGGACAGCAGTGTTCGTTTGCAACTGACTGTGTTTATCTCTAAGTCCCCCCCCCCCCCGCCACCCCCTGGAGAACCAGTCTGCAGAGGGAAAAAAGGACCCAGAATTGTATCAGCCTGTTTCTAAGTTATGAGAAGAAGCCAAACTGGATTCTACAACGTTCCGGCTTTTTGATCTGTGTCTTTTGTAGCTTTGGAGTACTTAATTCAAATCTCTTATAATCTCTCCTCTCTTATAATCTCTCTCCACAAATGGAAAAAGGTGGATTTTTTAAAAAATTCCTGCATGATCTCATGGGAAAGTTTTAGGTCTGCAACTCTTGGATGGGGGTAAAGTCTCAGGCAGACTCTCCATAATCCGAAGTTGCTGCTCAGTTTTGATCTTGGTTTTCTTTTGTTTGGATTTAGAAAATTTAAGACTATAAGGAGTAAAAATTTGGGCTTTGGTAAGTTTAAGTTAACCCATACTGCCTTAAAATTATAATTTTAAATTATAATTAAATTATAAAATATGCATATTTTTGTGGGAAAGGGCTTAGCATGGTCAATGGAATTTATTCTTAAATAAGTGTCTGCAGGAATTTTTAAAAATTAAATTGCTCGTCAAAATAGAACTTTAAAACATAGGTCAAAATCAGAAACTTCTGGTTGAAAGCAGGGAACTCCACCAGATTCTGAGCGTGTGCAGGCCCCTCCCCACCGGACCACCGCCGCTGACCGCCCATCTCCTGGACCCAAAGTGCCCCCCCCCCCCGTGGCCACTGGCCGTGCACCGCACTGTGACGTGAAGTGAGTCCCGAGTCGTGGCGATTTCCCCCGGCCGGTTTGCTCTCAGTCCACGTTAAATAGTGACGTGACAGATGCGATTTTTAAAAAGGCAGTGGCACCGGAAGAGAGGAATGAGAGCGCCCCATGCAGGCCACCCTTGCGAGTGGCACGTCACCTTTTCCCGGGAAGCAGCTCTCTCTTGGGGGAGGACGGAGATGTCGAATAGCCCCTCCTCTGCGGGACGATTCCGTTGCTCAAGGTGGGCCGGGAAGGAAGCCCCCTCAGCAGCTGGTAGACTGCAAGAGAGAGCGAGCGCGTGGGAAAGGCGCTGCGGACCGTTTCCCTCCCGGGGCTCATTGGTGCCCTCCACCTATTTAGGGTGTTTTTGAGAGGGATTAGACAAATCCGGGGAGGAGCCACCCGTGGCACGGGCCTGGTGGCTCCGCGTGGGCTCCGGGGCAAGAGCCCGTGGGCCGCTCGAGGCCGGCCGGGGGCACCAGGGCAGGGGCACTGCCTCTCCGGAAGGTGTCGCCCTGCCCAGTCGGTGGCTGGTTTGCACAAGCCTCGGACTCTCGCACGGCGTGGAGTTGCCGGCCTGCGGGGAAGCGCAGCCCCACGCAGCCGGAATGGAGGCGCCGCCGGCCAGCCAGCGGCTGGAAGCTGATTCCTGCCCAGGCTGCTGAGGAAAGGCCGGGCCGGCAGGAGCCACCAGCGGGCTGAGCCGACAAGGCCCAGCAGCCCCTGCGCCTCCCGGGAGAGCTCTGTGGAGGAGGCCGCGGGCAAAGCCCCTGGGAGACGGAGGGGCAGGGCGCCCGCTCTGCCTGCTTGCGTCAGGGCAGAAGGGAGGCCTTCTCCGCCAGACAGCAGCCCCCCGGCCCCTCCGTAGGCAGAAATGCACACACAGCTGGGGAGGGGCCGTGGGAGGGACTCCAGGCACGGGGGACCCCCGCTCGCTCCGCCTCCCCGCCTCCCAGTACCTTTGCTGGAGCCCTTCTTCTGCACGCTGAGGCCGTTCTCTTCACAGGTGCTCAGCCGTCGCAGGACATCGGCCAGGGCGGCCTTCAGCACCTGGATCTCATCTTCTTGCAGCTGCAGCCGCTGCTCCAGGTAGGAGATGCGATCGTCCACCTCCATCCCGCTGGCGCCTGACAAGTTGTCATCTGGGGGGGGGGGGAGAGAAGCAGGTGAGCCATTCCGCACGGCCAGAGGCCAGAGGCTCCGCATCTTTATTATCCATATTTACCACAATGGTGACATAGAACAAGGCGTGTGATTCATTCAAACTTACTAAATGTGTTTAATCCCCCCCCCCCAAAACCCAGAATTTGGACCATCGTTACACACCAGAGAGCCTCATTTAAATGGGAAGTGGCTTCTAGCCCTCATGGTTGGAAAGACAGATTTGAAAAATGTATAAGCAGAAAAAGAATCCAATACTGAGATGGAATATTTCTCAGCATGCTTCTTAGGAGAGCATGCATCCGTTAATTTATGTTGGGGGTCAAATGCGTGTACACACACGTGTGTGAATGCAACCAGACAAGCAGCAGAGACTTATCTGTGCGAGGCTTAAACTGTGTCCTGGGGCAGAACACATCCCCAGTGGTGTAAACACCAAGGACCTGTGGCTGTTTGCCCATAGACAGACAGGCAGCCACCTTGATTGCCATCTGGCAGAGGGGCTGCCTAGGAGTGGTCTTTATCTCATCTTTCTTTTAAGCTGTTTAGTTCCTGTCCATATAAAATATTCTCAAGGCAGTGTACAGATTAGGTAAATCAAAAGGTGTTGTTTGTTTGAAAGCTTATTGAGCACCTTGAGCACAGGTGCTTTGCCAAGAGCGGGGGGCAGCCCTGAGCCCCAAAAGCTTGCAACTTAAAATTGAGCACAAGAAAGAACCGTGGAGGGGAGCGGGGCAGGGCGGGCCGGGCCGGGCCGGGAGAAGCAGGGAGCATGCGGCCATCTCGGTTGCATGCTGCAGAGCTTCGTTACAGCAGGGGAAGGAAATGAGATGGCTGTGCAAAGATGTGCAGCCCCAGTCTCAGCTTCATATGCATATCAGAATCAATCAATCATCAGCCCCTTTGAAAATATCACCAGCAGAACATATCTGTGATGAGAAAAAGCAACGTGTTTCTCTCTGTCCCTCATGCATGCCCACCAGGAAAACACAAAAGGGCTGCAGGAGTGTGGAATTTGTTGCTAGAATGCAAATATTGGTATTAATTCAAGTATGCCTGTGTGGTTAGCGCCTGCAGTGGCATCTCCAGCCAGTTGGAGCGGATTCTCCTAACTGGTACACGGCATCAAGCCCGAGCTGTTTGAAGTCAGCCACCCGGACAAGCGGGAGCCTCGTCCTGCCAGGGGCTCTCCGTACTGTGCATAATCCCCCCCCCCACGCTATTCCCTGGGAGCCCCCAGGGGCTGTATTAGGGTTGGGCAGTCCAGGCTGAGCTCAGTCTTTTGCAGACACTGCCCACTAGCGGCAAGCAGAGACATTGCAGCCTAAGTTGCTTTTTCCGTGCTCATGGGGTGTTTCCCTGCCACACCTGTCCGTCCAGGTAAGTGGGCTTCTGGTTGGGCTGGCTGCACTTCTGGAAAGGGCACAGGAGGTTATGGGATGTCTTTGGGGTAAGAGCTTACGGCACATAACCAAGGCAAGGTGCTTCAAATAGAGGCAAGCGGTCTGGAATCGGCGTCGCCTCTGTTCCACAGTCATCAGTACAGGCTTACCTGAAGGGTGCATTGAAAAGGTGTGGGAATCCCTGCTTTTTAATTATGTTGTAGCAACTGGATGCCCTGTGCAAGATGTTTGAAGAACTGAGCCAGCGATAAAAACCCTTCACTGCCCCCTAGTCCTTTACTCATGATCGGTTTGGAGCATCAAGCCCTGTCCTCCGATCAGCCTGCTGGGGGGAAACAGGCTGCCCACCCCACGGACGACGGACCCGCGGTCCCAGCCGCACGTCCTGGGGAATATGGCCCCATGAGCACCGCCAGACTTCCTTCGAAGGAAACGCGCGTGGGATTCCCATCCACACGGCCACAAGGATGCTTCTTGGCCGCCAGAGAATGGACAAGCCGCACGATGGGCTAACACACTCCATAACAGGCGTGTGAGTCTGCGGATCTGGGACTGCCGAGTGCCAACCTGCTCCAAGCCCTGGAGAGAGAGAGAGGGCCCTGTCTCCAGCACGTGCGCTGCACTCCCACAGCTCCGAGGGCCATGGAGCTGGGAGGAGCCGTGAAGAGCCTCTGTCCAGCCAGCCGCTGGATGCAAGACTGCTCTGGAAGGACAGCATCTCCTCTGGGGAAGGAAGGCCCCCTGGGCAGGGCCAGCGGCTCTGGGGAAGCACAGACCTTCCCTTCTGACACCACACACGGAAGAAGCGAAGCGGGGACTGAGGATCATCATCTGGCGTGACCAGGAAGAAGGCGGTTGCTTGAGAACGTGCGGGCATTTCCCCAGCCGGACTCCCCGCTATGTGGGGCGTCGGGATGGCTGGGAGCTCTGTCCTCCGATCAGAACGCTTTGCAGATCCCTCTCTACAGCCATGTGAAGATTGTGAGGCTGTGCTCTGCATGCACTCGGAGGGATGCTTTCTCTTTCATGATCATGCTAAGTGTTCTGGAGCAGAGCTGGTGCTGAAGACAAGTCCCTGCGCCAAGGGGTGGCTCCAGTTAGGCCCCACTGCCCCCCCCCCCCGTGCTCTATAAGCAGAATGTGAGGATGTTCGCCTGCAGGGGAGCGAGGCTAATCCCCACCACATGCACAACAGCCCTCGCTGCCAACTCACACACACATGGAGCGCACCCCGGAGAGCAGCGGGGGCTGTTCGCTGCCCATGGCGTGTGTGGGGGGGGGGCCGTGTGCACACGTTTGTGTTCTAGGCGTGCGAAGGCACCTCCAGCCTCCTGGGCTTTTGGCCCCTGCATCCCTGCGGCAGAGCGGTACAACAGCCCCCACAGCCCCCACCGCCCCGGCAACATCCGCCTCTCTCCCATTCCTCGCGCTGGAAGGCATCTCCCAACGTGGCATGCGCATTTGCAGGCACACGCTTGCACGGGGGCATGTTTTCCTGCATTCCTCGGACCCCCGCAGCTCCCTCTGGAAGGGCTGCAGCTGCATGCAGAACCGGGGGGGCGCAGGCAAAGGGGGCCCGTGGACCAGCCGCCACCCACCTGTCATGCCAGGGCTTGCCTGTGCCGGGTGCCCACGCCGCCCAGGCTGCCCCCGTCCCGCCTCTGCTGCAGCGCGGGGCCTCGCGCCCTGCCCTGCCCTGCCCTGCCGCCTCGCCTCCTCTCCTGCAATCGCACATCTTCGAGCATCTCTCCCTCCTCCCTCTTTGCAGCATCCCTGAGCCGCGGTCCAATCACAGACAACGGGTGCTGCAGCCAGGCAGAGAACCAGCTTTGGGAGGGTAGGCAGAAGACCAGCCAGCCTGCTCATCGGTGCTCAGCCGAGCCTGCCTTGGTGACCTTGGCGGGAAGCGGCTGGCCCCCGAGAAGCCGCCTGCAGACGGCCCGAGCCAGAACCCCTCAGTCCCGGAGCAGGAGCTGGAAGAAGCATGCCGGCACGGGGCTGCCGCTGGGGAGACGTGCAAAACCAGCCCGGAATCAAGGCGGGAACGTGCCCAGGGAAGGCCAGCCGCTGGACCTCAGGGACGTGGATTCGCACGCTGGTTCAGCCACGCAGCTCACCAGATAACCTTGAGCCCGTCCAGCGCGCTCTCTCCCCCTACCCTACAGGAGCTGGGACCAAAACTGGCGTCCTGTGAGCCTCACACTGAGGTCCCTCTTGCTGGCCGAAGGGTGGGCTGCAACGGCGAGGGTACAATGGACCTGAACCGCCCTGCCACGCCAGGGCTCCTCCCATCGTGCCCACGCGGCAGGCGCTGCTTAGGACGACTCCAGGCCAAGCGGGGCGCCTGCCCAGAAGCGGGATGCAAGCGTGCATGCGAGCCAGGGCTGAGCCTCGCAACCTGTTGAAAAGCAGAACGTGGGTCGGTGCAGCTCCCTCAGCGAGCCTCAAATGTCGCCGTCCCCCTCGAGGAGGCGGCCAGCCTGAGCCCCGAGCTCCCCCCTCGCAGGTCCCTTCACCATGCGGTCGAGCAGATTGGTCACTCCTCAGCTCAGCTTCTAGCCTCCTACTTTGCCGACCAGCCAGATGGATAAATAGCAGCCAGAGGCTGCTTGCTGCCTCCCCCATCGTTCGGCGTGGCCTGACTGCCTCCCAGATTAGGGGCTTGGGGCACGGGACTGGAGAGCACTGTTCTTCCAGGGCAGTTGGTCCAGGGTTAGAGGGCACTGTCCTCCGCTGAGAACTGCACAGGTTGCATCGGTCGGAGGGAAATAGGCATGGGCGGGCGGGAGGGGGGGGGAATGCTGCGGCCGTCCCAGCAAAGGGGCAGCAGGTCAACACCGAGGGTCCGGCTCCTGCTGCCCCTTGCCTGTGCCCGGCTGGGCGCAGCCCCCTCCCCTCCAACCGCCCCCCGCTTTGGGTCTGCATCCTGCAAGCTCCATTGACGCGCTGCCCCACCGGCGCTGCGGCGTCCCTTGCCGCCCCCCCACGCCGTCCTTGCAGGGCTGCGGGGGGGGGGCAAGCGAGCGCCTCCCTGCTCGCGCCCGCCGGCCGTGGCGCTTTGCAGCACCGCGCAAAGTTGGAGCCGTTGCGCCACCATATCCGCGCATGGGTGGACTGCCGCCAGCAGAGTGGGGGCTGGGCTGGGCTGGGGCGGGGGCCTCCCGGGGGCCCGGGGCCGTCCCGGGGGTCCGGCGGAGCGCGCGAGAACGCGGAGCAGCCGCTGCTGCGGGGACGCGCCGACTCACCGTGGCAGAACTGCAGGAGCGAGGCGGCGTCGCGCAGGATCCCGCAGCTGGCCATGCCGTCGGCCGTGCCCGCGCCCGCACTGCCCGCGCCCCCCCCCCGCCGCCCGCCCGCCCCTTGGCGCCCCCGCCCGCCCGCCGCGCTCCCTCCCTCCCTCCCTCCCGGCCGGTCCCCGCACGCCTGCCTCCCGTCGCCATAGCAACCCACCTCTTTCCTGCATCTTCGCGGCCGGGGACCCCTCGGGCGCTGCCAGACGCCCCCTCGCTGGGCTCGCGGTCTTCAGGCTGAGCCAGCCGAGACGCCCCCCGCGCACGGCCGGCCCCACCTTCAGCCCGCAGCGCCCCACCCACCGCCCGCCCGGCCCCACCCCCGCCGCCCTGCCGGCGGGGCCGCCCCTCTCCCCGGCCCGCCGCCCTCAGCCCCCCGCCGGACGCGGCGCCCGTGCGGCGCGGGCGAAGGGCCCGCCACGCGATGTCGGCGCCGCCGCAAGGAGGGCGGCTGCCCCCCCCCCCGCAGCCGCAGCGAGCTGAGCGCCCCGCCTCTCGCTGCCCAGCTCCCTCCTGCTCCGCATCCCGAGCCTTCCGCCCCCGCACTGCATCCTCGGGCTGTGCTCGTGGCGAAACTCGCCGGTGAACTTGCCAGCCGCAACTTGCGCGCCCGCCTCGGTGCTCGGCTTGCCTCCTTTTTGGACGGATTGGGAGCCCCCGAGTCTGCCCTCTCCAGCCTGGGCTTTCCCCCTGCAAGTGTCTGCCCACCCGCGCGAGGCCTGTCCCTCTGCGACCTGCAGGACGTCCCTCCGTCAGACTCTGCCTCGCGTCCCTGCAACGGGTCGGTCCGAGCAGTTCCTTTTGGCCCCACACGCCAACAACCTGCTTGCATTGGGCACGTGGAACCTGCCTTCGGAGGGAAGCCTAAAGCCGAGCCCGGAAATGTGAGGGAAAATCCTAGTCTTCAGAGCATGTGCAAAGTGCCATCCCCTGAGTGGCCAATACCAGTCCTGCCCTGTCCTGCCGTAGGCGCTTGGTGTCATGGGAGGGCTCTTCTTCCAAAGACACAGAAACGGGGGAAAACAAGCCAGAAGGGGTCTCCCAGGCCATCTAGTCTGACCCCTGGTTCCAGCCTGCTCTGCTCATGGTAATCCCCAACTCGGGCCTTAGGCCTGCTTGAGGCATCACCCCTCTCCATTTTGTGTTTTGTTTTTCTGTAGAAAGAAGTTTTATTTGAAATTATAATCCTAAAAAAAAACAAAAAGGAAACTACAAACAACATCCATCATCAAAACCATCGAGCCCCCTGGGTCAGCCCCCACACCCTTCTTTTTCCATTTATGATAACTTAAAAACATATTTAAATCTAAGCCAAGTCCCGTTCCTCTAGCCAGTAATAAAAAGAGTCCCAAGTTTGACAGAAGTTTCTCTGTTTTGTTTAAACATCTTGCAAGGACATTGAGGAAACAGAACGTATTCATTTGCCCATTCTGCCTGCTCATATGCAGCCATCCAAGTTCTTTCTAACAAAACCAAAGGAATATTCCTCCTCACTCTGGCTCAGAAGTGGTCCTGGAAACTCACTGCTACAGGATGTGGGAAAGGGTGTTGGTATAGCTGGATCTGGGGGAAAAAATAGAGGGAAGGAACAGGCCGATGTTTCCGGACTGGGCGGGCAGCAGGACCAGCAGCATCTCTCCACAGATGCGCTGCGAGGCCCAAAGGCAATGGCATCGTGGCGGCCGCTGGGGGTACCTCAGCTGCCACATCAGCATCAAAGGTCAGCAATAGGATGCCACCTGGGAAGCCTTCCCCTCTCCTGAGCACAGCTTGGCCTCCTGGACTGGGTTTTCAAAAATAAAGCTGTTCTTATTTCCCCATGCCGCATATGCCAGCCACTCTACGAGCATCTGTGCACAGAGGTTCACGCACGTTCACGCAGGCATTCTGCATGTGTGAGTGCACAGGTTCGTACCCGCCCTGGCACGCTACAGAAGAATAAAAGGTGTGAGCTTAGGGACGTGGGGCTCCGTGGGGCTCTGCAGCAGCCGCCGTGGCTCAGCGACGGCGCCCCCCACCCCCCGCTTGCGCCCCTGCCCTCGCAGCCCCCGGAGGCCGCGGGTTCCGGCACCGGGCTACGTGCCGGGCGTGGAAAAGCCGCGCGCAGCCGCCACGGTCTCCGGCCGCGGGTTTCTTGCGCCACCTCGTGGTGACCGAGGGGAGCAACGCTCCACCCCGCTGGGCTTCTTTCTATCTATCTATCTATCTATCTATCTATCTATCTATCTATCTATCTATCTAGGATATTTGTATGCCGTCCTTTGCAAAAGCCTCAGGACAGCTTACACAAATAAAATACAAACATAACATAACAAACATATAATCTAACATAACATAAAAATAAACGAATCACTCTGGCTGCAATTAAAATATGATGATACAATTCAATATTAAAACTTATTAAAATATTGATTAAATAAAAAGGTCTTCCCCAGCACACCTGACGATGTGCTTCTCCCAAGCATCCCTTTACGCAAAATCTAAGCAGGTCGCTTCCCTCCCTCCCTCCCTCCCTCTTTTTATTATCGTCTCGCTTTCCCACCCACTTTTGTTCATTCAAGGCTGTTTCTGGAATAACAAGGGAGAGAAATAAGCACCACAAGAGCTTGTCCGCTGGAGCAGACAATGTCCGTCCAGACCCACATCTTGGGAACGTGGTCATGGCGAGTCCTTTCTGGGGATCAGCTAAAGCGTGTGGGGCAAGCAGGGATGAAGCTCAGGGCCCGGGGGCCCCTCCTGCATCATGGCAGAGCACCGGGGGGACCCGCTGCCCACACCCTCCCCGGCGGCAGGGGGTGCTGCACTCCTCGGCATCCGCCCCAGGGTGAGCGACTCGTGGCGGCCTCCAGCAGCCACCTCCGGCCCTTTGGGCAGGATCCGCAGCACCCCAACCGTCCGGGGACTCTGCAGGGATGGCACTGAGGGGACGGGACGCCCTCCACTCCGCAGCCCAGGATTCCGGCCCCGGGGTGCAGAGGCCTCCGTCGATCCTCCTCCAAATGGGCCTTTGCTGGACGAGATTTATCTGCCGCTGGCAGGCAGGAATGCACGTATTCTGACCCAAGGCGTAGAGTCTGTCCTGCTGCTAGAAAAGAGGTTTATCCTTCTGGATAAGGATTATTTTATTTGTTCCCATGGAATGGATGTGGGATTTCATTATGTTCTTGTAATTTTTATATTTTTACGATAATTTTTATGGTCTGTATTTTTGCTGCCTTGACTCATTTTTCTTTCTCGAATTTGTGGTGGCTTTGGCTACAAGCAGTAAAGACAAACAGAGCAGAGGTGGGTCCATGCACAGCTCTCCCCCCAGAGCTGGCACCTCTGCAGAGATCTTTATGGTGTTGGGTGAATGTGTTTTTATTCTCCGAGCTATTTTGAGAGCTGCTTCTAGTGTTTTTAATTTGGTTTTCTATTTCATTGGTTTTGGTTTTCAATTTAGCTTTAGATTTCATTAAGCCAAATTGAAATATACAATATAAAACCCAACTGCCTTTCAGTTTAGTTTTATATTTCATTCTTTGCTGAGGGTTTTACGCTGTGCTGCTTTTCTTTTCTTTTCTTTTCTTTTCTTTTCTTTTCTTTTCTTTTCTTGTTCCTACTGTGTATTTTTAACGTGTTGCACACCACCTGGCAAGCTTTGGTGAGAAGGCAGTGTCAGCGTTCAAAAGAGTGCGGTCCTATGGACTCCCGACACTGCCTGGGCAGCCATAGGATTTTGGGGGATCCCACGATCTTGGAGCAGGGAGTCCAAAAGCTGAGCTGCCATCCTGCCCCCTCGCAGCTGGTGCAGAAGGAACCGCTCTGACTGTCCACGCTGCAAGGACGCAGCTGGGCCGGGGGGGGCAAGGAAGGAACATGCCGGCCCCTGGACCCTCCACTGGCCCAAGGGAGTCAACATCCCGCTTTAAACTGACATGACTTGAACTGCGCAGCGGGCAGCCCTGCCTCGGATCTCGCCCTCCCGTCCCGCAAACCGTGTGTAATTGCTCGTGGCAGCTTGGTCCCAGCTAATTTTTGCACACTGTCGCCGTCATGGGGTGGGTTTTGGACCTGAGGGTGCTGGGTCTGCTTTGGGGCGATCTCAGAGAGCCGATTCAGGTACTTCCGTGCCCTTTCATCACCTGCACAACCTGTATATTTGGAAAGGATGACAACATGGCAAAAACATGGCGGGGTTCCAGCGCTCTCTTTGCGTGCTTTCAGTAAAGGCTGCCTGTGGCTCCTTGTGTCTTCAGGGGTGGCGTGTTGGCGGCTGTTCCTTAAACGCAGGGAAAACCTGGCATGTCGTCCTGGAAAGTTTAATGTCTGTCTCACTGCCGGGAGTGAGAACGAGGCAGAATCGGAGGGGGAGCCGCATGAGCTTTTAGTCGGCCGAATATGAGGGGAATCCGGACGAAAATATCTCTTCCCTGCGAGGTGTTTCTGCAGCTCTTGTGGGTTCTGCCCCCGGGGAGCGTGAGGGACAGCCATCCCGGCTGCCCTCCCCAGAGGGGGCCTTCGAGTCCAGCAGCCCAACGGCCACCTGGCTGGCAGACGCATCTCGAATGAGCGTCCTCATCTTCGGCCGGGCCACCTTCAGGGTCACGCACTTCAGTACCCTCCGCACCACGGCCCCCTGACCCGTGAGGCTCTCTGGGTAGCGCGTCCAGGCGGCTTCCCCAGGCTGCCAGTGGTAGATGGAGTCGTGCGTCCTGGAGGTGCAGACGCCTCCCATCACGTAAACCTTCCCCTGGAAGCAGGTGGCGCCGGCGAAGGCCAGGGGCAGCGGCAGCGGAGGGATGACGACCTCCCGGCTGACCGTGCCGGCCTCGTGCATGAAGAAGCACTTGGAAGTGCAGGGGAGGAGCTGGCTGAAGCGCCCATTCGGGTAGGAGTGCGCGATCTTCTTTGAAAAGAAGCCCCCGATGACACAGATCCCCGTCTCCATGGGGACAGCGGCCGCACCATGGAGACAGAAGTCCAGCGGCACCTGTGCCCAGGTGTCCAAGTGGATGTCGTAGACGAGGATGCCCTGGTAAAGCACCTCGTCGGAGTCCGCGTCCCCGCCGATCAGGTACAGCCTGTTCTTGTACGGGGCCGAAGCAGAGAAGCGCAGGATGATGGGCAGGCTGGCGATGGGCGCCCACGCCTGCCGCGCCACGTCGAAGCACTCGGCAGAGGCCAGGGCGCCCGTGTCGTTCCAGCCGCTCAGGGCGAACAGCCTCTGCTTGCACGCCAGGAGCATGTGCACAGAGCGGGGGGTGGACATGGCGGGGAGCTGGACCCAGCGGTCGGCGAGCGAGTTGTACTCGTGCAGAGCACGGGAGTAGGAGCCGTCGGAGTGCTTCCCACCGGAGAGGTACAGCCTGTGTTCCAGGGCAGAGCAGCCGGGCAGCGCCACCAGCTCTAGGGGCGGCAGCCTGGTCCTCGAGCCCGTCCCCGGGTTTATGCACTCCATGTAGCAATCCATGTCCTCGCTGACGGACAGGATGTCTCTCAGGCGAGGCACCTTGATGCACACGATCCTCTCCCGGAACATGCCCTGCCGGAGGCCCCCGCTCTCCCGCAGCCGCCCTGCCCCGTCCAGATCCTCCCACTGCACCTCCACCTCCCGGCCGAGCGCCGCCACGTCCGCCTGGATGCGGGCGATCTCCTCGCGAGTCAGCAGCGGGAGGCGGACATGCCGCAGCAGCGTCCCGAGTGTGGGAAGCCGCCCGGCGGGCTCGGCTGCCACCCAGCGCTGCACAGCCAGGAAGACGGCCATTTCGGAGGGCACCGCAAGGTGGTCGGAGGAGAGAATGCCCACCAGAGCCCCGAGGTCGAGGCAGGGGAAGTCTTTGTGCTCCAGGAGGGGCTCAAAGTGGAGGCTCAGGTAGCGCATCGAGCCCTGCAGCAAGGCGGGGTTGTTGTGGTCCCAAGCCAGCGAGTAGAGGCGAAGGCAGCTTTCCATGGAGATCTTCTCTACTAGGTACCTGCCAGCAGGGATGGAAAGGCAGGGCGTCACGGGGAAGGTACGGGTGGCCCTCGCGGCGGAGGAGGGGAGACACGAGGCAGATCCGGGCCTCCCGGGCTACCTGCTGATGAGCGCCAGCGCTGGGCTGAGCTGCAGCCGGCTGGCTGCCGTGAAGAGGTCCTCTGCGGTCTCTGCGCTGAGCGACAGCTCCCCCGAGTAGAGGTAGCCCAGCAGGCTCTGGAGCACAGCCGGGTTCATATCCTGCAGGAGCACCTCTCCGTCGACGGACTCCTTGAAGCCGCTGGCGAACATGGCTTGGAAGTAGGGGCTGATGGAGGCCAGCAGGGCCCTGCGAGAACATGGAGACTGTCGGACGGAGCTGTGTGCATCCTCAGGGAACCTCGTCCCCGGCCCTGTCCCAGAGGAAGGCGCGACTTGGCTCCCTTGGGAGCCGGCCCGGAGCGGGAGCTGGCATCGCGCCTGGCTTGCTGCAGTGACTTTTTATCCCGGCCTCCTCCTTCCCCCTTGGAAGGATCCCAGATGGCTTGCACGGCGCTCTTCTGCTCCATGTTATCCTCATAACAACCCTGTGAGGTAGGTTAGGCTGAGGGGCAGTGACTGGCCCAGGCCATCCAGTGGGCCTCATGGGGACTAGAACCTTGTTCTCCCAAGTCAGTCCAGGACGCTGAACACTCCGCCATTCTGGTTCAAGTCCCCGCTTGGCCGTGAAGGTCAGTGGGTGCCTTGGTGCCAGTCACTGACTCTCAGCCCAACCTCCCTTGCAGGGTTGCTGTTCTGAGGATGAACCCGAGAGGAGGAGGCCCATAAGCACTGCCTTGACCTCCCTGGAGGAAAAAGCGGGGTAGGAAAATGACAGGTGAGCAGGCCGCCTGGCCGGGCACAGACACCCACCGGTTGCACGGGAACCTTCTTCCCCCAGCGATCAGGGTGGCGTTGCAAAGCCCCTCGGTGTGGCTCAGCTGCCTCAGGCCTGCGGAAAAGGGGAGGGAGCGACGCGTTCGAGGCGACTCTGCTGGTCACCTCGAGGGCAAGGCGCACGAGCCACGCGGAGAGGGGTCTCTCGGCACATTTCCAGAAGAAAGCCCCCGTCCCAGGAGGATCCAGGCTTCGCCCCAGCGCAACAGTGCCGAGCCGCCAGTGAAAGGGGGCAGGGGGCAGCGAGGTGACTTCAGTCGTGTGGGGGGTCTTGTCCCTTCCCACGGGGGGTGACACAGCTGGCCCGGCCAATCCAGAGGGCATCACAGGGACCCGGTCCCCATGGCCTCGCGCCCGCTCCAGGAGGAGGCCTCCGGGGGCTCTCCTGGCCCGGGCGCCCCCGCCCGGCCACAGCGCCACACGCCACGCTTGAGCCACCCGGGCAGCCCTGCGGACCTCGTGGCTCTGGCGGACCGCCTCGCACGGCTCGGGCCGGGATCAGCCCGCGCTCACCCTGGCCGAAGCAGGATTTCAGGGACAGTGAGGCGGAGACCGGCGCTGCATCGTTTCCGCCGGTTCCCGCAGCGCCTGCGGGATCCATGACGCCACCGCCTGGAGCACCCGGTCCCGGGGCCTCTGCTCCCTGGGCCATGGGCTGGGTCTCGGCTGCTCCCGGGGCCGCCCAGCCATCGCCCCATGGCTGCCGAGGCAGCTCTGAGCGGCAGCCGGGAGCAGGGGGCTCTGGTGTCTCCCGGACAGCCGTCGCCAGCACAATGGTTGCCGGGCCTCGCGCTTCCTCCACGCACGGAGGCTTGGAATCCAGCCGGCTGCTCTTGCTCTCTGGCCTCGAGGCCGAGAGGGTCAAGTGGCCCGGGGGGCCGTGCGCCCGTGGCTCCTGTGCAGAGCCCGTGGGACTGGCTCTGCGCCCTGATGGGCAGCGCTGGCACGGAGAGGGGAAGGTCCTTGCCGCATCCAGTGTGTGAAATTCCTGCCGCCTTTGCAGGACGTTTCATTTCTGGGGGTCTTCTGACCGGCCGAATATATGCCAGTCCTGATCTTGCCTGCTCTTTCCTGTGTGCGCATCTCTGCGTTTCGCACGTTTTTGTCAAAATCCACCAAGACCAAGCGCACCGCCCTGAGTAGCAGAGCTGGTCCTTGCGCTGAATTACGCAAACAGGTAGGCCAGCGGCACACGGCACCTGATGCGAGGACGCTTCCTCTGCCCCTCGGAGGGCCTGGAACCCCCAGTGTGTGTTTCCCACCTCCCCGTGGTGTCCCCCCACCCCCCTTTCACAGCCGCCCTTCTCGGCATCTGTGCCCTCCCAAGAGGCATTCCTGAAGCCGGAATCTCAGGACAGATCATCTCCCGGATCATCTCCCGCTGGGAAGCACGCTGAGCGGCCCGTCACGGCCCCTTCCTCAGTTCTCTGTACGGCCCCATTCCGACTCAAGGTCAGGAGTGGCTGCACAGGAAAGTCCTCAATTCTGCTGCATACAAATTACCCGAAAATGTTGTGAGTGTCTGGATGGTTTTAACTCCCTGCATTTTTTCAATGTACCATGTGACATCTCAAAGATAATGAATGCTTTCATACTGAGCGGAAAAGTAAAACTTCTGCATTTCAGTTGTCAAGCTGTTCAAGTTAATTCCTGGATTTTGTTGGAGCGGTGTGCAATTTGTGTATGTACCATGGGAAGGATCCTGATACTTCTGGATTGGACTGATATTCGGGCATACCTGTGAGTCTGCATGTGTGTACAAGGGGTCTTTGTCACAGATCTTTGTTCCACACAGTTTCTGAGCCCATGTTTTCACCTCTCAAACTCACTTTAATTTTTTTTTAATTTAAACAATTATTTTAAATTTTGTTTTACCCTTCTTTCCTGCTTTTTTCCTCCTGCATGGAACCTCAAATGGCTGATCCAGTCTGCCTCCCACGCATTTCGTCCTAACAACAATCCTGTGAGGTAGGATCGCTGAAAGACAGCAACTGGCCCAAAGTAACCAGTGAGTTTCTTGGCCAGGTGGGGTCTAGAGCGGAATCTCGAGTTGAACGTTCCACCCACTACATTGTGCTGGGTCTCATACCTGACTGTTTGAAGATGGATTAATTGACTTCAAGGTAAATAAATCATAGAAGTTCTTTATTTTTTTGCAAAAGGAAACGTGAACATTCCCCCAACCATCACCCTGCAGTCACTGACAGACGCTCCCTCTTCCGAAAATCCTCTCCAAGACAAAATCGTTGTTTCTCATCTGGCGAAGTTTGCCCCAGAAGCCACCGAGGTCGGAGGAATGGGCAGCAAGGAAAACCTTCCCCGGCAGAGATCACGGGGGCTCCGAGGAGACTTTCACCCGGACCGTGGAGTTGGTGACGCGAGCCCCATAATGCCCAGCCCAGAACTGTGTGTCCTTTCCTTTGTGCTGGAAATGCACGTAGCGAACGCCAGGGCCGTAACGCCTGAAGCTGTGGGCCACCTGCCGAGGCAAAGAGGAACGAGGAAAGACATCTCTGAACTCAAGAAAGGGCCCAAGCCAGTGATGGCTTAGGCAGAAAAGGGTCCTTCCGCCCCTGCCGTCCGCAGCCAGCTCAGCAATGCTAGGAGCGGCAGATCCCTTTTTCTCTCTCAACACACACAGGTTTGTGCCTGAATCCTCCTTGCCTGGGCAGACTCCCAAAGATGGGAAAGACCCAAGGAAGTGTTGCGGGAAGTCCAGCTCAGCAGCTTATACCACAAGGCAGTTAAAATAATTTTTCCTGGCTACTCAGGGCCAGCTTTTTGCTGTTTCCACTAATCTCCATGAGCACAAAGTAAGCCTAATTTTACTCATTTTACGAATACTTTTTTTCCTAATCGTGGTAATCCTACTTCCATGTTTTTTATTCCATTCTATATATTTTTAATAGTTGCCAATACCATTTTACCCAATTACCTGTGTAAATCTTTGAAGACTGAACTGCTACATCTATCTCTAGTCTAGTGACCACACTAAAGATGAAGGAGTGGAAGGCGACCGTGCGTGGAAGCCCCTCGGTCACGAGTCCCAAGGTGGGCCCTGGGGGCTCCTGCGGAAGAAAGCTACCTGCTGATACCGAGTGTCGTTCCACTGCGGGATGGGATCGGGGCTGGCCTTGAAATCGGCGATCACCGAACGCCGGTCCCCCGCCAAGAGGGAGACATGGATTTCATAGACGCAGCCACAGTCTTCGCGGGGACCCCACCTGTGGAGACAGGAGGAGCGCTGAGCCTCTGCCCGGCCTGCTTGTGGAGCACGGCACGGGATGCGCGTCTCAAACACGCCCGCGTCTTGGCACAGAATGTCTGAAGCGTGCAAAGGCTTGCAGAGCGCCTAGGAGCTGCACACGGACCACTCTTTGGAAAGGCAGGATGAGCCCCAAGAGTTCCCGGGTGGCCGTTAAGTCTGCAAAGGTCACGAGCCCCAAATCATTGGGAGAGGCAACTGATCGCACATCACTGTTTGGCTCTTTGGTGGCCTGGAAGCGTGGGCTGGGTCTAGGGGAGAACCGCGTTGGAAAAGATTCTCGCCCTGGCTGGAGCTGTTTTGTCCAGCAGAGGCTCTCCAGAAAACTGGCCACCAACTGCTTTTAGCGGAGCTCAAGGGAAGCCATACTCACCAGTCAGAGATCAAAATTTCAGGCTGGTAGTTGTCCAAAAGGTCCTCCCAGAACCCTTCCTTCAGCAGATCTATCAGCTGAGACTTTATGCACCAGCTGTGGAGAGAGGGAGGAAAAGCAAGAAGCGCATTAGCATGCCCATGCCGTGCTGTGAGGTGCTCAGCTTCCACAAAGCGTCTCACACACGTGGAGAGCCCAAGTTACAACAATGGAAGGCATGCACACTGCAAAACCCCGGGGAGGAACGGTGAAGTCGTCACAATGTGTAGGCTTGGAAACGGACTCGCAAGCGGGAAGGGCAACGCAGAGAGGAGGAGGGACGGCACATCCAAAGGATGCTGTGACCTTCATGACATCCTGAGCATCAGGGGAACCAAGTGGGAAGGGGCCCGGGAGAAAACTTACTCCCCAAACTCACTAATAGGAAGAGACGAAGCACGTCTGGGCCTCCGCGCCTTCCACCGGGTGCTTGTTCTCTTCCACGCACCACCCATCCCCCCCCGGCTGGATGTTCCAGTGCTGGAATTCCTCTGTGGACACAGAAATGCAAAACATCATGGATACGGTGGTCTTGGAATCAGGGAGCCAAGGGTTAAGCAATGATCGCTGTGTTTGAACCCTGCATTACAATTTAAGGATGGCTTGTTACCCATGAGCAACTAACTCATGGTTTGTCATTGGGTTGCAAACTCTGAATTCCTTGAGGTTAACAGCCCATGGTTAAACCACAGTAAAGGGTTCACACAGAACGGCAACCCACGATTCAGCAACAACCCAGGGTTTAACCCATATGCTGCATTCTCAGTACGTGCAAAGCAGGCCCTCGGGGCAAGGTTAACCTTAAGTAAAACATCATCCACCTGCATTGTTCACATTGAGCTGCACCTGTTGAGAAACAGGCTGGGCTGCTTCGAAACGTAAAGGAAAGTGAAGAAGAGAACAATTAAGCAGCAGGAGCTTTATCGTGACTTCTTAATTTAAAGGGCCCAGTGGAAAGTTAAAGCTAGACAGAAAGTAAATATTATCGACAACACACAAAAAAACCCCACTCATGAAGTTCTTGAGAAACGTGATTTTCATCAAAACACCCGACTGTGAGCATCCTCACGCCTTGCCTTCCGCTACAGCAGGAACGCAAACTCGTGACCTCCAGCCCCCCATAACGCCAGCCAGCAAGCCGCGACGAGGGGCTGCAGGCCAAAATACCGGGGGCCACATGCTGTCGGCCTCAGCGGCCCAGCCCGCATTTGCCTCTCTCGCCAAACACTCCAAATTGACCTTCAACCAAAGAAACTGTTTTCAGGGTGGGATTCAGCTCTGAAAAACATTGTGGGATCATGAAATGCCTCTGCGGATGTGCAGAGCGCCGTCCCTCCTGCCTGCAAAATCGCCCACGACACGCCTGGGATCTGCGGCCGAGCACTTCCGGGTCACGGGGTACGGAGGCTCCCTCTGCACTCCCCGTTTAGAAATGCGGGGAAGCGCCCCCCAGGCCCCCGGCGCCCCTTCGCTCCCGGCTCCTCACCTTTCCCGCAGGGGTTCTTGATGAGGTTTCTCCCGAAGGGCCGCAACACGCTCACCCGGCCCCACTCCATCTGGGGGTGGCGACTGGCCGCTTTCAGGGCAGCCCGCAGGGAGGGGTCCCTCTCCCACTGCAGCTTCCAGACCGTGGGGGTGTCGATCAGCCGCTTCCACCTGCGGCACACCAGGCGGCAGCGGGTCACCAGGGTCCGGGCGCGCACCCAGCTGAGGATCAGCACCAGCACCTCATCCGGCAAGGGGTTCAGATCCACCAGGCACTGGATCTCCTTCCCGCGTGGAGGATCCGAGGATATCCTGCTCTTCGCCTGCCCCATTTCCGGTCTTGTCACCGTCGGGCACCTGACAACATTGAAATCGTTATTAACTTTGCTGCCACGTAACTCAGTGGCTAAAGCTCTGTGCGTGCTGCACCACAACCGGTCGAACACAATAAAACGTCAAATGCAATGATGCGTGGCAAGAGCACAACACACATTTACACCTGAACTGTATCTAGTGCCACAGCCAGGAGGTTCGCGCAGCTGAGCCCGCCAGAAAAGGGCCGCGCCCACGCACGGCCGGGAGCCGGAGGGGGTCGGCCTGGGGCC